CCATGTATATACCAACCCAGAATCTCCTTCACTGTTTTAGTCAGCGTTTCCTTGCTGGGATCAAAAGAACAACTTAAGGGAGAAAAATTGATCTTGGCTCCGAGTTTCAGGGATGCAGTCCATGGTCGGCCTCCTCCACAGTTCTGGGCCCAAGATGAGGCTGAATATGATGGTGTTGGGGTGTGGCAGAGGACAGCAGCTCAGCACATGGCAGCCAAGAAACAGAAAGCAAGAAAGAGAGAGTAGGGGAGGGGGATTCTGCTCATGGGGTACAAAATATAAACCCCAAAGGCATGGCCTCGGTGACCCACTTCCCCCAGTCATGTCCTGCCTGTCTACAGTTACCACCCGGTTAATCCATACCAGTGAATTAGGAGGAATACAATTAGGTTGTCGTCCTCCTAATCGAATCATTTCACCTCTGAATATTCTTGCATTGTTTGTTTCACACAAGAGCGTTTGGGGGATACCTCATACCTAAACCCTAACATTTACCGTCAAGTGTTACAGTTTGAATCTGTAATGTCCCCACTGGCTCACGTATTGAAGGTTTAGTTCCCTGTGCCGCAGTGTTCAGAGGTAGGGATTTGTGGAAGTGATGGACCATGAGTGCCCTCACTCCATCAATGGACAGTCCATCGAGGCTGGGCAGCTGATGGCATTATGGGGAAGTGGAAGAGTTAGTAGGAGGCGGGGCCTAGTGGGAGGAAGTGGGTCACTGTGGGCAGGCCTTGGAAGGGGACTTTGGTGCCTAGCCCTTGCTCTCTGCTTTCTGGCTGCCAGAGGCGAATGCCTTTCCTCCACCACACCCTGGTGCCATGATGTTCTGCCTTGCAGCAGGCCCAAAGCCACGGCGCCAGCCGATTAGGTACTGAAACATCTGACTAAGCCAAAATAAATCTTTCCTCCTCTAACTGTGCCCCTCAGGTATTTTGGCCACAGCGATGGAAATCTGACTAACCTGGAAAGCTCTTATTGAAAGGTAACATTTACATAAACATAACAAGAACTATTTTACTAACAAGAAAATTATAAAGATGCACACATATAGCCACACAGACATTTATTGTTCATTTTTTCAAGTTCTCAGTCTTCACTTAAAATATTTGACCTTTATGTTCAAATTTCCTAAAGGTCCACTTGCTGACTGTGATATAATACATGTAGAAATTAATACCTAAATTATACGTAACAAAGACTTTGTGATTAAAGACACCCTCTGTCATGGTTTGGACCCGGGTGTCCTCCAGTGGCTCTTGGGTGAAGGCTTGGTCCCCAGTGCAGCAGTGCTCAGAAGTGGGGCTGCAGGGAAGTGACTGGGTCCTGAGGGCTCTGACGTCATCGTGGATTAGTCCCTTGGGAGCTGAATGGTCTACTGGGAAGTGGTGGAGGCTATGGAAGGTGGGACCTGGTAGGAGAAGTAGGTTATTGGGGACATGCATTGGAAGGTTATTTCTTCACCTGTTGCTTCCTGTTTCTGTTTCCTGGATGCTGTGTACTGAGCAGCCTCCCCCCACCAAGCCCTTCCACGCACCATGCCCTTCCACCCACTATGCCCTTCCACTATGATGTTCTGTCTCACCTCAGGCTCAGAGCTATGGAGTCAGCAGCCTACAGATGGAACCTCTGGAACCATGAGCCAAATAAATCATTCCTTCTTTAAGTTGTTTTTTCCTCAGGTATTTGTTTCAGTGACAAAAATCTGACCAGCATACCCTCCTAAACTGGATCTGAGTGAAATGCAAAGTATTAAATTAGCTATTTCAGAATGGTTGAAAATAATTAATTAAAAACATTATAAATCTGAATTCATGGTATATGATTAAAGCTTTTCTTAAATGCAAAAATGTAGATTTAAAATCACCTATAACTAAATAAGAAAGAATGAATAAATAAGGTAACAAAACAAGCTTGGTAAGATACAAAGGAACAGCAAAACAGAATGAGAGAAGCGACCAGGAATAAATTGATAATAAAAGTTTGATTAAAACATTGGAATGTGTGTGTTTTAAACAATAGAGTTAATAAATTTAAGGTTGATTCTTTGAGGAGAAATTGCTGGATTAACTCTCAAGCAAATGTGAAATAATTTCTTTGCATTGAATGTAATAAGTAGGACTTAATAAGTTTTGATGAGTTATAAAAAAGCAATACAGAATGAGCATACCTAATCAAAGAATCTAAAATCTGAAATACTTCAAAATCTGAAGCTTTTTGAGTGCCAAGATGATGCCATAAATGGAAAATTTCATACCATGAACAAAAGTGTCAAAATATTGCATAAAATTATGCTTAGTCTATGTGTACAAGGTGCGTGTAAAACAACAATGCATTTCTTGACGAGGGTGGTGAGAAGATTGGAGAAAAGACAAACATAAACACAGAGAAAGTGGGACTTGGTGGACCAACTACACTCCTGATGGGAAAAAGACAGGTCACAAGCAGGTTTTGCATGTTTATTGTGTAGGGTTAGACATCAAGAGGACTTACTGTGAGAAAGCATTTTCAAGATAAACAAACCAAAGCTGTGAGCAAAAGCAGCCCAATTAAAACTCATCAGCTTGTTCCCATATCTCTTCTACCTCCCAGCAGCGGGTGTTTGAACTCAAGGCTTTTGAATCAATAAATTCCATGACAGGCACAGAATTTTCCTCTTTAATGAGGGTCTCCACCAAAGGGGCAGTTTTCTCAGCACTGTCACACCAGAAATTCCCAATGGAGGTGTCACTGTTGCCCAGGACAGTTCAAAGCAATGATTCATTCATTGCTCCTGACAAGTACACACATTTGGGTCCCTTCCCCAGGATATCTCACTACATTTAGGCAAATATGCCAAAATCTGAACAAATCCCAAATTGGAAATACTTTAAATCCACCACCAAATCCTTCATGTCTGGATTCTCCACTTTCTGGTCCATTTGACACACCATCCATCAGGAGCAAAGTCCTAGTGTCAGGAATGCAGCCTCCGTTACAGCCTTGGCAAGGCAGATTTAGGCACCTGCTAGTCTTGGTTAAATGTCTCACTGCTGTTTCCTCTCACTGTCCTGTTGGTATCTCCCATTGTCCATACCCAAGCAGAGGCCAGAGAGCTAGGGAGCCTGGAAGGTGTTTTTTTTTTTCCTACAGTACAGGAGACCCATTGAGTCAAAGTGTCTGTGGGGTTCCACAACAATGATCCTGCAGGAAGGATTTCAAATGAAGCTGCACACAGTAACAGGCTCCGGTTTGTTAGAGAAAGTGAGGTAATCTCACAGTACAGGCACTGAGCAGACATGTCTGCAGAGAAGGGACTACCTCTTAGAGTGTTTGGGTTTTGAGGGATTTTGAGTCCCTTTGTTCGGGCCTTAGCTACTCATTCCCTCATAAGTGATTTATTACCCTTTGCATAGCTTTCAGCAAACTTTCTTTGTGAGGGTCAGGATGACCTGGTAACAAGGAGTGGCTCTGACTTGGTTTCCCTGATGACTTGGTCAAAAGGGGAGGGTCTTGACAACCTGGTCACCAGAAATAGTTGACATGACCTTGAAACAATAGTTCTCTTAAAGGGTCATGATGTACTGTGGCTGGGGGAGGTCTGACATATTAGTTTCCATTTTTCCAGTGCCTTTCTGCTTTGAGTAAGTTTTCTGTTATTCTCAGTCCTGTGACTTATGGACTTTCTGATGTCCTCCCTATAAGTTACTGCTCTTCATTGTCCTCTCCTGTCCACCTGGTAATGGCTGACTTTCTATGTAACAAGTTGCTTCAGGGGCTGGAAGAATGGGGAGGAAGAACTGAAGGGCCAATCAGAGAATATCAGGAAAGCTAGACACCACCGGCCGGCCTTGCTCTTTCTCTGGGAGGTAAAAGGGCCACATTCAATTTCTCACTTTCTTTGGATCTGATTCCTCTGAATCCTTTCCCTTGTAGTTATATTGTTTTCTCTGATAGGAATTCCCTCACCCTGATCCTTTGGTTGGTAAGCCCCTATTTAACTCTTCAAGATCCAACTCAAATATCACCACTCTGTCATCTGCACACATGCAAAGGTAGTGAGGTTCTAATAGTGGGGAAAAGATCCTAGGGCTAGGCTCTCAATCTGCCCTTATAGTTGATGTGACCTTGGATCACATAAATTCAAGGTTGATTCTTTGACGAGAGATTGCTGGATCAACACTTAGAAAAATGTCACATAATTTCTTTGTGTTGAATATAATAAGTAGGACTTAATAATGTGCAGAATACTTTTCTGTCTTTTAAGTTTCTTCTTTTGCCAAGTAAGAATGGAAATACTGTGTTGACATCCCTTCTGTAGGGAAACTGAAAAGATCAGTGAAACACGATGCCATCTAAAATGCAAAGCATTTTACCAGTTTAATTTTGTTGGTGTTGCTCTTGCTGTTTGTTATAATTTCCGCCTTCCTCCATTTGTTGATATAGAACACAGGGCACAGTGGGAAAAAACCAACCTTGGGATTCAAATACTAATTCTCACACCCCACCCGTGCCCCCGCCCCTTCTTCCTTATTCAGCTTCTTTTTTCTCTCGGATTCTCCCATTCCTTCTCCACCCCTCCTTTTCTGGCGTGCTGTTTGTACCTGGATTTAGGTATCCTGGGACATTGCACGGATTTGCTGGCACACTTTACAGGTAGAGTCATTGAATAACGGACGAGGTGGGGCAAGGAAGCAAAAATGCAAATACCACTCTGTATTCTAACTCGTGATGTTCTGGGGAACTGAGCATTCAGATGGGCTGGGTCTTAAACGAACCCTTGGCTGGGGGAGCGGGCGGGCAGAGGATTGGGCTTCTGCCGGGGTTTCAGGTCCCGCGTCTGAGCCCGCGCTCGGAGGCCGGAACTCCAGGAAGGAGGTTAGACGGGGCGTGTCCGGAACTCGGTACGGGAGCACGTTCGAGCAAGGACTACAACTCCCGACGTGCACAGCGGCCAGAGCTGGTTCTACCCGTGTTTAGCCCCTTCATTCTTACGACAGAGACTGCTGTCTAGGGATTGCAGCGGGGGGCGGGGGTTGATTATAAAAAAAGCAATAAGCTTTTCTGGCAATGCGGACATCGAGACCACATCCCGGAATGCCCCTTACTCTTCGAGTGGCTGGCGCATGCGTTACGGAACTCACTGTCTCGCGGGCCGAGTTTCTGGGGGACATTGATCGCAGCCGGACTCTGTGGCGCGGCGGTTTAATTCTCCGGTGGCTGCAGACTGAGGAAAGGCGATGGTCTTGAGCGGGCTCATCAGGAAACTCGGTAACAGTCGCCCTTCTCCGGGGGGCCGCCGGGTCGTGGCAGGTCACGCCGCGTCGGCGGCGGAGGAAGGCT